AAGCAATTACAATGCACCTGTATCTACATGAAAAACAAGTTTAAATTTTTGCATCCTATTATGTTAGTAGTACAATGCAAAGCCTTGGTAAAAATGTCACCAGGATTCTTTGCAAACTTGACTAAAGTTAAACACATAGATTTATCATTGAGGCAATCTATGAAAAGTTAAACTTTGCATCCATAATGTTTTAATCTAGCTCTGTAATAATTGTCTGATTCTAGCAACAATCGAACTGACTGAGACAGCTCACAACATAAGCAATATCTGACCTTGTATTTATACTAAGATACAAGAGATTGTCAATGAGCTGCTGATAACCAATTTTTTTTTGCTATCCTTGCTCAAGATTAAACATTTTTAACTTAAACTCCAAAGAAACTTTCTTTCCTTCGCACCAGTCCATGCTGAATCTTTTCATCATTATAGAAATGGTAAAAATCATCAACATAAAGAGCAAATTAATGCCACATGGGCTCTTACACATAGATCCTACTTAATTAATCCTTAATTACCACTTTCTTTTTTAATTTTTTTTCTAAAAAAGTTAAAAAGTATATATAGTTCAAAGGACCCATGACACCACAAGGAAAACAGAGTTACAACTGCCATCCCTACTATTAAATATGCTTATGCCATTGCGTTGTGATTAGCATTTCTATTACAAGTGTTTAAGCAGATGTTGAACATAAAAGATTAAACAGCGACTAGTGTTTATGCAACACAGAGTCCATTACACGTGACGCCTCAACACAACAGCCACTACATTGTACAATTACAGATGGAAAAAACAATATGCTCAAGTAGCAGTTAGTATACATCCGACAGAGAGACGCCCGGGGTCCATTACGCGTGGCGCCTCAGTATACCAATTGCTATGTTCTTTACATGTTCAACCGCACAATACTTGCAAAAAATAACTCAGTACAAAACAATCTTTTGCAACTTCAGTGTTAGCCAGGCATGTCACCACTCTCAAGGAGGTTGCCGGGGAAGTCCTCGAACCACACAAGGTTTACGAGATACAGGACATGTCAGCAACGTGTCTCCAGCTAGCTGGCCACCCCAAACTCAGCAACTTGGCGTGTCCGGTGCGGTTAGTATACATCCAACAGAGAGGCGTCCGGGGTCCGTTACGCGTGACGCCTCAATATACCAACCGCTATCTCCTCCACATCTTACACCACACAACACTGGCGGTCAACAACTCAGTACAACACAGTTGTTGAAAAGATCAAATACCAGCCAGTGTCCATGCAGCACAGAGGCGCCCGGGGTCCATTACGCGTGGCGCCTCAAAACACCAGCTGGTACATTGAACAATTCAAGAACTGCCTACGTGGCACCCGCGTTTTGCTATATGTGTTGGGACCAAGTTCCAGAGATACGGGACCAAGTCAACAGTCGCCAAGAAAACGCCGCTCATGACAACAAGAAGACATGATTCATCACCCGTTAGTACTAACAATCCTTATCGTTGTGGTCTTACTATACAGCTGAATTCTATTGGTAAGTTCTAGTTACACTAATGCAACACTTAAAGCCTTGTAGCAACTAGTGTCCATGCAGTACAGATGCTAGACAGAGCTGCAATTTCTACATCAAACCTATAAACAGGTCAGAATGG